TTTAAAATTAAATCTTGATCTTTGAATGATAGTTAATACTTCAAAGGAATTGTTGAACCAAAATTTAACAATGGAAGAGTAAATTAATCAATAAAATTATTCAAGCTTATCAGTATTTGTTGTTATTTAGCAATTTCTTAATTTAGTTCTTTCGCGAAAACAAACAAACTAACAGTATAATAATATTATTATGAAACTATATTTTAATATAACGAAAATAATTCTATAAACATCTTAACCATTACATATACGAAAATAATTTCTATAAACATCTTAACCATTACATATATGAATTTATGGTTTAATTATTTTTTCTACGTAATAAAATATTTCAAACATTTAGATTTATCATAAAATAATGAATTTCTATAAGGTGATAACGAAAAATTTTTGCCAGAAAACATGCCAATAGATTTGCCAATAAAATTTGTCAACGACGAAAACTTGATATCAATTTCTGATATCGAGGATAGACCGAATTTGAGTCGCATAAGTATGAAATACACTTTTTTCGATAGGAGTTAAACTTCTCCATATTTTATTTGTGGATAGGTTAATAATTTGTTCATCAGTAACATTTATTAAATGACCTTCTTCGGAGATTTGCTTCTTGAGTAAACCATAAGCGGTAATAAATCTTCGATTATTTGTTCTTTGTAAAATTTGTGTGTATAAATTTATATCAAGACGAAAAATCCTTTGAAAAATTAATTGACTTTGTATATAAATGATGAAATTATTTATTTCATCCATTATATCTATAGTATCCATATTATTAACCATATTATTATTCCTTAAGGGCTTAACTAACGTAAACGAAGAAGATGCAAAAGGACCACCTATTTATATTTTTACATTAATAGGTCATGCGGTTTAGTTTCGGTTAATGTCTTAAACTCCTAAATGATAACAAAGAAATCCATCTTATGGTAATCTTATCATATCGAAATCTCGCGTTGAAGAACAATACAATTTTTTTTTTTAAACAGTTGTGTTCCCTTAATTATTGTCATGTGTGCTATCATATGACAGTTTTCTGGCACTAAAACCTGCATATTAAATGTTATTAACCGTTTTTGGATTTGACAAGTTAAAATATAGCACATTAGCATAAAAGTTGCCGATTTTCATTCAATTATGTAAATGCATAAAATGTTTATATGACAGAATGATATAATCAACTGATTAACTTAAATTACGAATAACAAAAATTTTTCTGATTTTAAAGAATAAAAAATATTGGAAAGTCCGAAAAATACTAAAATTATTGCACAAATGAAAAATTTTTTTTTATAGTAAATTATATTAGCATATCAATTAAAGTTTTCCTGCCTTTGTATCATTTTCGATAGTTTTCATGATGTACTATAAATGTTTCCTTTTCAATTCACCAATCATATGTGTTATGATCTATTTGATAATTTATTAGTAAGAATACCCGATTCACATTTCAAGCATCTCAGACGATATCAGGTGGGGTATCACAATCATTTCACAGATCTACCTTACTTGTAGTATAGTAACGACATTACACGGGGTGCCAATTTTACCAAGAAACTAAAAATATATACCTGCAACTAAATCAAATGCTAATCTTAACTCATGTGATGTCGGCTAAATGTCGGTTAAGTGAGTAGTGCCGCTATATTTCACAGATGGTCAAGATTACCCTGATTTAGAGAATAATTAGGTGTCAGAGAAATGACCATCTGTAAACCGACGAAGAGAGCAACAGTACACAAGGGTTATACATAAATGCTTAAAGATAACGACTTTTTCAATTAAGTAATTTCACAGAATTGAATAATCAAGAAAAGGTCTACTTAGATAAAGTTACTTCTTATTTTATATTACAGTATTCGAGAACAAACATAATAAAAGTATAAACCTTTAAGGACGTGAGAACGCCAGAATTTTCATTTTGACGTGATGTGCATTGATTGGACCGGAGAATCTGCAATACAGTACTCATGATATGCGTATAAAAGTATCCAGGGCTTTGAATAATAGCGAATTTGGGGTATTTTTGAGTTACACAACAGAAATAGAGTCAAACAGAGTCGTGGATCCCAATGTAAAGTTTAGAATCATCGCTATTTAAGCCAGATCATACGACTATTACATAGATTTTTTTTTTTTTTCAGCTAAACTAGTGTTTGTAAAAAGTATACTGAAAAATCCGTCGTTTCATACTATAATAATAAAATAATGTGTATATGTTTTAAAAAATTTGTTTTCTTAATTTCTTTGATAAATGCTGTGAAACAAAGTGATCAAAAGTCGGAGATGCAGTTTATAGTTATTTATAATTGCATATAATGCATTATGTTATCTCATTATGTAATTGATTATATTGGTAACTTAATTATATAAGCTCTATGAATAATTTAAATAATCCCAAAGCAATAGATTATCTTTCTTTTTTTTTTTGCGATGAATAAAGATTCATAAAAAGAATAAGCACATATAAAAAGCTGAATAATAATAGATAAATTAGCATTGTTTAAAACCGATGCTTTGAGTGCTTATTTATGCAATTTTTCGATAATGACTCTTTTTAATCTTAATTTGATTATAATTTAGGGTCATTTGACTAGTTTATGTATCTTTGATTAATTCAGAATCGTTTAACTAGTTTTTATGTTCCTTAATTTTGTGATATTTATGTAATTTTACTTTTACAATTCTTGTTCGCATACATGATTTCATATTTGAATTATTTTTTTGCAACTTTAAAATGATCATAACAAAGATATTTTAAATAACCCTCTGCGTTTACAAAAAAATTTATACGTGTTATATAATAAATAAATATATATGTGTGTGTGTAATGATTAAAATTTTTAATCTTCCATGTATTTTTTTTTGTTCTACCGTACAGCTCTGCATATAATATTACTGACCTTTTTACAAGAAACCCAAGATTAATAAAACAATACCCTGGTACTACACTGAAGAGAATATTAATCGGTATTAAGTCTATTGTAGGTAACCCTAACACTTAGCACCGGGGTGATAAATCAATTGGTTGGAGCAAATAAGTATTTACTACATAAAATGAGTGATGCACAGGGAAAACCTGTAAGTAAAATTTTATTCGTTAATCACTATGCCGATCTTAACGATTTGGCACTGGGGTGTGGCCAATTATAGGATATGACAAATAATCATTTATTATATGGTTTAGGTAGTAATCGTTTATTTGTCATATCAATGTTTGGCCACGCCCCAGTGCCAAATCTTCAAAATCGGCATAATGATTAACGAATAAAATTTTACTTACAGGTTTTCCCTGTGCATCACTCAAATTATAGTAAATGTTTATTTGTCACGCCAAGTGCCAAATAAAAAGGTTACCTTCAATCAATCCTACAATAGACTTGAGGATCATTGATTCGGCCACTTTTGAAAATGTAGAATGATCTATAGTATAGATGGACATATAGAATTATTAAAAATTATAATATCTATTTAATTTAAACAAATTTATGAATAGATAGGATTAGGTTGAAAATTAGAGTTTAAATTAACTCAAAATAGTTAGTTTTTATATATTATAATTTTATAATAATTCTATATGCTAACCTATACTATAGAAGATCCGAATTTACAATTGAATAGTACCTCGATGCTATTAAAGGGGACACTTCTTCAAGGAGATACTATATCCAGCGTCTTACGGTACTGGATTTTAAAGTTTATCAATTTTATTAATTTCATATAAGATTTTTATAATGCAGAATGTTTACTGTCAAATACTATTTTACTTATTTTTGCAAAGAATAAAACAGAAAATTAGAATTAACCAACGTTTTCTGGTGTTTCACACGCTAACCTTCATGATGTTATTGGAACCTTCCTGTCCATTAAAAAAAAAAACCTGCATGCTAAGTCACAAATAAATTTCTTTAGTAATCATTTCGTTGCAGAGATTTCTTAGATTATTAATCAACTTCATAATATGGTGATACAGGAAGCCCTTATAAATTTAAGTTTACTTTAAGAAAGATATATGATAACATAAAAGTTAATAAAACAAATATCGGGTGTTCCAAAAGTTCCTATACACGAACCGTTTTTTAATACCTTAATGTTATTAAAATATTAAAAATAAAACAAGTGACCCTTTTAAAATTGCCAATATAATAATTCCTATTAATATTGGCCAATATAAATTAAGTATTTCTGAGTTACTGAAATTAAGCAACCCTTCTTAAAAATCAATCAAGATGGGTGACTTAGAGAGTTGCTTATAATTCAGGACTTTACGGTAATAGCGTTTCGCACTGCATACAGTACGCGTGTCTTATTCAAGAACACCATTTTTAAAATTGAATAGTACCCGGTACTATTCACGAATCCAGCGATTTCATTGGCGGGAAAGGGGTACTTTATGTTGTAGGATACTACTTTATGCAGTGCTAAACGGTAGTGATTTCTATACATAAGACCATTTTAAAAAAAGGGATCGTGTATAGGAACTTTGGAACACCTGGTATAATACTTGTATAATTCATTAATGTTGTTATCTGGCAATTAGAAAAGAAGTGGCATGATAATTCACTTTATGAAAAACATTAGTTTCGATTAACACATTTATTATTAATTTAGAAGTTGCTAATATTTAAAATATATAATAAGCAAACGGCCGTTTTATGATCTTCGGCAATGATAACACTTGCCTAAGGGTGTCGATCCTGAGGTGTCTAAGGACCTTCAGGATGCGAAAGGAGAAAAAAATACACAAATAAATACATTATATATATATATATAATACTATAAATTCATTTATTCCTAAATAAATTATAACATTAGAGTTCAAGAATAAAAAAAAGTTTTAATAACTTTCCGGTTCCGGCTCCCTCATTTGACCAATTATTACAATAAATTGGTTGACTGGCTTTTTATTTAATTTATATTTTATATATAATTTATTTGTTATTATAAACGTATGCATCCCTAAAATGCATAATCTGATACAGAACGATTCTAATTATAGCGTAACCAATAATGTTAAATTTTATTGTTTCTAGATCACTGCTACTATTCAGATAATCTATTTAGATTATCTATTCGCTCTCCGGAGTTAATGCATATTTTTGCATTTTTTTTTGTTCTTCAAATGGGTATTCCGAAAGTTTTTCGTCAAAAATAAGCAATTATTATTGGTTTGTATACAAATCCAATAAAAATTTTCAATAATATACAGTAATAAATTAAAAATTTACTAAAATAGGGAATTGCTTTATGATTTGTATGATATAATAAGATTATTTAACGATATGTATATATTCCTTATTTTGATAACAGGTTAGTATTTTTTTTTTTTATTCTTGAACATTCTTTGAATTATATTATTATAATTTAAGCCTATTCATATTCAGAAGAATTGTAATGAATCACAGTGGGTAGTACAATATCTCAGCGGATATTTTCTTTGGAGAACGAATCAATGACTCTATACAAGGAATTTGAGCAGTTCGTGCTGACTGTACAGTACATTAATATATTTGTGCTATATTGTATGTAATTAAGCTAAAATATGACATTATAAATTACGTTAGAGCCTAGATCTGGATAATCCGGATAGTCAATCTGCTTATTAGTTATCTATATCCGTTTAATATGTTATTTATCTGCTATCCCTATTTGTTTAATTT